TTTTTTTTTAAAGATGGGGATTCACCATGTTGGTGAGGCTGATCTTGAACTCCCAACCTCAGATGATCTGCCCGCCTTGGCCTCCAAAGTGCTTGGATTACAGGTGTGAGCCACCACGCCCAGCCTAACTAACATCGTTATCTTGAGACCTGAGGTTAAACCGTGGGTGTGGAGGGGAGATAATAATGAAGCCCTTGCCAAGGCCCAGTTGATGTGAACCCACCCCATGGTCCATTTTCCCAGTCTCTGAATATGCAGCTGGGGTTGACGTGCTTGAGAAGTGCCACACTCACCATGGCAGTTCCTTGGTCTGTCCAGTGAGGGCATCATAGTGAAAAAAGCCAAAAGGGAGATGCTGAAGCTTCCTCTTCTAAAATCAAGATAGAAAATTAAAGACAATATCACAGGCTGAATGCAGTGGCTCACACCTGTAATCCCAGCACTTTGTGAGGCCGAGGCAGGTGGATCACCTGAGGTCAGGAGACCAGCCTGGCCAATATAGTGAAACCCCATCTCTGCTAAAAATACAAAATTAGCTGGGCGTGGCAGTGGGCGCCTGTCATTTCAGCTACTTGGGAGGCTGAGGTGGGAGAATCGCTTGAACCTGGGAGGCGGAGGTTGCAGTGAACCGAGATCGTGCCACTGCACTCAAAGACAATATGGCAGCCCATGGGCTGGCAAGGATGAAGGCCATGCCTGAGGATCTAAAGCAGGACTCGGTTAACATCTTAGACCTTGTGGGTCCTGCAGTCTCCACTGCATCCATTAGCCTCCAGCACACGAGCAGCTAGAGACAAGCTGCGAATGAATGAACATTTCTGAGTTTGAATAAAACCTTAGTTATGGACACTGACATTTGAGTTTCATACGGTTTTCACATATCACGAAATATTCTTCTTCTTTCGATTTTTTACCAACTATGTGAAAGTGTGAAAGCCATTTGTAGAGCAAAGGAGGTATAAAAACAGGAAGTGGGCCAGCTTTGGCCCACGGGACTTGTGGACTACTGATGTGAAGGATGCAGGGGCGGCGGTGCCCCATCATATGTCTATTAAATTCTCTAGTCTGACCTTGGAAGACACCAGATAGATCCCGAAAACAACAGGTGACCACAAAGTCAGGTTAACAGGAGTTGCAGCCAGCAGAGCAGATTAACACAGCTTCAGGCAGGGTCATGAGCAGCATTATCATGTGGCCAAATTTGTTTGTTTGTTTGTTTTTTGAGACAGAGTTTCGCTCTTGTGGCCCAGGCTGGAGTGCAATGGTGCGATTTGGCTCACTGCAACCTCCACCTCCTGGGTTCAAGTGATTCTCCTGCCTCAGCCTCCTGAGTAGCTGGGATTACAGGTGCCCACCATAATGCCCGGCTAATTTTGTATTTTTAGTAGAGATGAGGTTTCTCCATGTTGATTAGACTGGTCTTGAACTCCCTACCTCAGGTGATCCAACTGCCTCAGTCTCTCAAAGTGCTGGGATTAGAGACGTGAGCCACTGTGCCCGGCTGTTTATTTTTTAATCATAAAAAAGAATCTGAAATAGTTGCCAGGGGGAAAATATGCATTCACAATTTTTCCTAGAGCTGTGTTAATTCTCCTGCCCTCTATAATAACGGGGAAGAGAACTGGGAGGTCCAGCTCTTCTGCTGAACATCACGGGGATATTTTGCCAACCAGGCCAGATGAGCACGAAGTAACTGACCTGCTGGAAGTCTCTGTAAGACACATGAGCTGCAGAGACTGGGAGGGGACTCTTAATATTCCGGAAGCTGCCACACACCCATAAAAATGTTGGAATCCAGTGGTCAGGGGTGTGCTGGGACACACACACCGAGTGACACACCCAGTTGTCTCTGACACCCTTTTTTTTTTTTTTGAGACAGAGTCTTGCTCTGTTACCCAAGCTGGAGCCTCTGCCTCCTGAGTTCAAGCTCAGCCTCCTGAGTAGCTGGGATTACAGGCATGAGCCTCCAAGCCCAGCTAATTTTGATACTTTTAGTAGAGACAGGGTTTCACCATATTGGCCAGGCTGGTCTCAAACTCCTGACCTCAGGTGATCTGCCTGCCTTGGCCTCCCAAAGTGCTGGGATTACAGGCGTGAATCACTGTGCCCAGCCTGATACCCACTCATAGGAGACAAATGATTCTGTCTTGCACTCCCCACCATGAAAAAAGAGGCACAAGGCTTAGCAGACCTCTCTGCATTCTGGAAGCAGCCCCATCTACACCTGGGAGCACTGGCTTGCCCTGCAGATCCGGTGACACTAAAGGCTGAGCTTTCAGTGGGAATCGGAGCAGGAAAGCACACTGCAGCAGGTCCACGCTGGGTACCCAGGGCCCGACACCCAGGCCATGTGACCAGACAGACCTATGGGATCAGAGGTATCAGGGGTGATTCACAATAGCAAAGATACAGAACCGACCTAAATGCCCATCAATGGATGATTGAATTGGCCAGGTGCAGTGGTTCATACCTATAATCCCAGCACTCTTGGGAGGCTAAGGCAGGAGGACTGCTTGAACTCATGAGTTTCAAGACAAGCCTGGGCAACATAGTGAGACCTAACTAAGCACCCTCTCCACCCCATCCTGGCATGACTGACTTGCCTACATGGTTTTTCTTTCTAAGACTTACCATCCAGAACATTATGCCATCTTTTCTTTTTTTTTTTTCAGTATTTTCTCATAATATACCATGTTTTCATCTGTTTGTTTGCTTCTTGTCTATTCACCTCATCAGAACTTGAGCAGCGTTATAATAGCACGGATTTGCTCTGTTTTATTCTCACTGTGTACCTGGCACATAGTTGGTACTCAATAGATAGAAGCGGCAGCAGAGCACTGAAAATAAGCTCAGCAGGAAATGAAGAATTCCATTATTTGTCTTAAAAAGGTAGACAAGCCAGGCATAGTTGGTCACACCTGTAATCCCAGCACTTTGGCAGGCTGAGGCAGTCAGATCCCTTGGGCCCAGGAGTTAGAGACCAGCCTGGGCAATAAGATGAAACCCTGTTTCTACAAAAAATACAAAAATTAGGTAAGGTGGCATGAGCCTGTAATCCCAGCTATTCAGGAGGCTGACGTGGGAGGATCACCTGAGCCCAGGAGTTAGAGGCCGCAGTGAGATCATGTCACTGCACGCCAGCCTGGGCGACAGAGCAAGATCCTCCTGACTCCAAAAAATAAGAAAAAGAAAGAGGCAGACAAGTCACTAACATGGGGAAATACGGATCATGACAGGAGAGAGCTGGCTTTTTCAGAAAAAGACAGTTATTACGTATCCAACAACAGAAAAATGGGTAAAGAAAATTTGGCATATATACACAATGGAATACTGTTCAGCCATAAAAAAGAATGAAATCCCATCATTCTCAGCAACACGAATGGAACTGAAGACATTATGAAAAATGAAATAAGCCAGGAACAGAAAGTTAAACACTGCATGTTCTCAGTCACATGTGGAAGCTAAAAAATGTCAGTCTCGCAGAAGTAAAAAGTAGACAGAGGATACTTGAGGCTGGGAAGGGAGAGGAAAATGGAGTGACAGGGAGACATCTATTAAAGGATACAAAATTACAGCTAGACAGGAAGAACAAGGTCTAGTGTTCTGTACCACTAGAGGATGACTACAGGTAACAATGTATTACATAGTTTCAAACAGCTAGAAGGAGGTGAGCCAGTGGCTCACACCTGTAATCCCAACACTTTGGGAGGCCAAGGTTTGTGGATCACCTGAGGTCAGGAGTTTGAGACCAACCAGCCTGGCCAACATGGCAAAACTCCGTCTCTACTAAAAATACAAAAAATTATCCAGGTATGGTGGCGGGCACCTATAATCTCAGCTACTTGGGAGGATGAGGCAGGAGAATTGCTTGAACCTAGGAGGCAGAAGTTACAGTAAGCCGAGACTGCACCGTTGCACTCCAGCCTGGGTGACAGAATGAGACTCCGTCTCAAAACAAAAACAAACAACAAACAAAAAATGGAAATAGCTGGAAGGAGGATACTGAATATTCCCAACACAAAGAAATGATGCATGTTTGAGATGAGGGATGTGCTGATTATGCTGATCTGATCACTACACAGTAAATGTATCGAAACATTACCATACACGCCTGAATATGTACAGTTACTATTTGTCAACTTTAAAGTAAAATGTTAAAAGAGAAAAAAATAGACAAGTGAGAGAACAAGAAATTCATCCCACACCCAGGAGAGATGAAATTAACCTAATCTCAACAGAGTTCAGTATCTTCTTCTAACAGACAAGGAGCAGAATCTTTCATTGCGTGTTGGGAGGGGAAGAATGAGGTTACTCAAACAAAAAGTTTCGAACTTCTCAGAAGAAAAATGAACTTCGTCAATTCGAGATACTGTTAATACCCCATCTGGCCATGGCTGACGAAACAGACCTTTGGATTCCATGAAACGAACCCCTTGCTAATGTCTCTTCTGCGTTCTTCAGACCTCCTTGGCAGGTGGCTGGCTTCTCTGTTCTTTTAACCCTCCAGAGGTCATGTGAAAAAAGCATGCTTGTTATGAAATAATCCTCTGGCTTCATTACCCAGGAAGTCCCTGCTTTGTTTTTGTTTTTATTTTCTCAAGCTCTGACAGTAGAAGTTTCTGGGGGGGAAATGTGGGGGAAACTGTGGGTCTTTGCAGAGCGGGGTGAAGTTGTTCAGAACCTGAAAGAAATAAGATATTGTATTTTCCTTCCTCACATTCTCTTGTTCACATCTTCAGAAGACAAAGTTACTCCCTTCGGTTCCCAGAAGTTGGTCTGCTCTTTTTTGTTTTTTAATTATAGAAAGAGGTTCTCACTCTGTGCCTGGCTGGAGTGCAGTGACACAATGGTTAGCTCACTGCAGCCTCAAACTTCCAGGCTCAAGGATCCTCCCACCTCTGCCCACTGAGTAGCTGGGACTATTGGCGTGTGCCACCACGCCCAATTAATTTTTAAATTTTTTCTAGAGAATCTAGTCTTACTATTTACCTAGGCTGGTCTCAAACTCCTGGCCCCACATGATCCTCCTGCCTTGGCATCCCAAAGTGCTGAGATTACATGCATAAGCCACCACACCCAGCCCATTTCTGCTCTTAGGGAGAGGCGAGTGCATCAGAGAGAACACTCTGTGCTCCCAAAAGAGGGAGGTGACAGAGCTCACGTTCCCTCAGCCTTTCACACAGCCTCCCCTCATCTTTCTCTCTTACTTGGCATCGTGGCTGTGCTAGGACCCCCTCATGAAGACCAAGATCCTCGTAAAGCAGACAAGAAGTTCATCCAGCACGAGTCAGGTCAGTATATCAAAATTAGCATAACTGGCAGAAACGCAGAGGCATTAATTACTCCTATTGACCACAGGGTTAGTAGAAGATTCCCTGGTTTTCATGCCCAGCACAGATTATGGGAGCAGCAGAGTACATGCTGCCCAGCAGCTTCCGGAAGCTTCTGTCCAGGAGCTGGAGGTGCTGCTGAAGTGCAACACGTCCCAGTGTGCTCAGACTGCCCGCAACATTGCCCCCAAGACTGCAATGCCGTCATGGAAACGGTGGCCCAGCTGCCCACTGCAGTCATCCATCCCAGTGCTGGGCTGTGCAGCAAAGAAGATGATTAGACGGCTCTTGTGCACGTTTTGTTTTCAAATAAAACCATGAGAAAGAAAGAAGGGGGCGGTGGAGGAAGAGGAAGAAGGAGGGAGGAGGAGGAGGAAGGAGAGGGAAGAGGAGAAGGAATTGACATCAGCAGGCTGATTACATCCTGTTCCTTGAATTCCTGCCTGAGTGTACTGACCATTCTCCCTACGGATGCTGACGATTCCCATCAAGCCCTTCAGAACAAATTGCATAATTGTGGAATCTAGACTTGGGCCACAACTGAGGGATTTTTTTTTTTCTCAAATCCAATTTCACAAAGTAAAAGCCTGATGAAATACAGTGAAGGCTGGTGCTCTAAGAACTGTGTTTCCCAAATCCAGAGGTCTGAAAAGGTTCTGCATACAGTCATTCACTCAATACTTAATTACAGAGCATGAATTCCATGCTAAGTGCTGAACTCAGCACTAGGAAGAAAAAGGTGACCTAGAGGCATATCCTCCTTCTAAAGATGCGTAGAGGCTTGCAGGAATGATCAGCTGTGTAGAGAGCTACAAGGCAGTTCGAGATTGGTAAATGCCCCAGGAGTGATGCGATTGTGGCACGTTTAAGGGTTAGCCAGAACCTGGGACCTAGACACAACACCACTTCTCATGAATTACATGAGTGTGGGTGTTTCACCGCCACGATGAGACACAATGCCTGCATTTATCACATGGAAATGGTGATGGCATGCCTGCCCCGCCAGATTGCTGTGAGAAGCCAATGAGAGACACGTGCAACATTCTCCGCACAGCGCTTGCCGTGCAGTAAGTGCCTAATCAATGCTAGTAATTACTTTCTTATTTTTTTTTTTTTTGAGACAGAGTCTTGCTCTGTCGCCCAGAGTGGAGTTCAGTGGTGCAATCTTGGCTCACTGCAACCTCCACTTGCCGGATTCAAGCGATTCTCCTGACTCAGCCTCTCGAGTAGCTGGGATTAAAGGCAGGCACCACCATGCCCAGCTAATTTGTTTGTATTTTTAGTAGAGACGGGGTTTCACCATGGTGGTCAGGATGGTCTTGAACTCCTGACCTCGTGATCTACCTGCTTCAGCCTCCCAAAGTGTTGGGATTACAGGCGTGAACCACCTCACCTGGCCGCCAGTGATTACTTTCAGTATTTCTAAGATGCAGATAAGGGAACAGCCCAGAGGAGGGGGAGCAATTCCAGAGGGAGGGATGCAGTAAGACTTCCTGCAGCAGGTAGCACTGGAGCTGGGTGTTAAGGAGTGAGTGAGCTTTGGGATTATGGATTTAACAGAGGAAGCTAAGAGAAGAGGAGGCGGTGTTGCGGGAATAGTGAGTGACGATTTTTGTTTTGTTCTGTTGTTCACTTGGGGATATTTTTGTTGCAAAGACAGCATGAAAGATAGCAGAGAATTCATATTGAAGAGATAGGCCAGAGCATATTATGAAGGATTTTGAATACCAGACTAAGAAATTTGGGCTTAATTTCACAGATATTATGAGCACTCCTAAAACATTACATTTTAGATGAGGGAAAAGAAAAGTATTCTTCAAGAAGATTAAATTTGGGCTGGGAACAGTGGCTGGTGCCTGTGATCTCAGTACCCTGACCTCCCAGCACTGCTGAAGTGGGCAGATCACCTGAGGTCAGGAGTTTGAGACCAGCCTGGCCAACATGCTGAAGCCCTGTCTCTACTAAAACAAACAAACAAAAAGAAACCAAAAATTAGCTGGGTGTGGTGGTGGGTGCCTGTAGTCCCAGCTACTTGAGAGGCTGAGGTAGAATCACTTGAACCCGGGAGGCAGAGGTTGCAGTGAGCCGAGATCGTGTCACTGCCCTTCAGCCTGGGTAACAGCGCAAGACTCAGTCAAAGAAAAAATAAAAAGATTAAACTGGAAGCAGTGGGTAAGAATGATGGAGCGGAGAGAAACATTGCAGTGAGGGAAGTCAGCTGAAAAGCTGCATAGATGTCTAGACAAAATGTGACACAAGCATGCCTTCACCTCCCTGCAAAGACCACAGTCCCCTGCACTCCAGCGGGGTTCAGAATCCGTGTCCTGGGCCACCATTGGTAACTAATCAGTGCTGGCTTGAGAGATAAACCCCATTATCCATCCCTGAACTAAAACCATGACAGAAGTGGCAGGGAGCTTTACTGCTACTGCCCCAGCAAATATGTCCTCCTCTCAAATGGAAAGGGGACCTCCTGACAACATCTGTGGGACCCAACAGCATGGGTCACCATAAGCCACAAATTGGTAACAAAGTCAGTTTTCAGTCGTTGGGGACGGAGGATTCAGTTCATGATTCACACAAACCGACTGACTGTTCTCTCCCAGTGTTTTATGGGTGGCACAACCCACAGGTCAATAGCGGCCTGGGAACTAGACATTTGAGTGGAGTTGGGTTATTTGATTCATAGTGGATTTTGGTTTTCCACAGGACCCCTGTGCCGTCATCTAGTAAAATCTGGTGGAAATTACAAACTGCAGAAATTCAACTCAGTGCTGCAATAACAGGATGCACCTGTAGATTTCATAGAATTAGCAGCAGCGTTCTCTCAACACCAGTTTGAGAGAAATAACCCTGTTTGCGTAGTGCCAACTGGGGCAGAATCTGATGTGTTCTTGCCTGCCTGCCAGCCATGGGAGGCACCGATCTCAGCAACAGCTTCCATCCGCCAATGACTTAACAAGCAAAGATGGAAGACCCACGTGCTCCAGGCTGTCCTGCATTGGTTCTTTTGCTCTTGATGGAATTACCAATTTGACAGATGTGCGTGCAATTAATTGGGGGCTTTCTGCTTCCAATCCAAATTCCCACACTCATATTGCTGGCTCTCTGGGAGCAAAAACCCTTCTTTGTTTTTGCTTCTCCCAGACCCTGGGCAGAGCTCCCTGTTCCTGGATCCTCACTGATATGTACTGAATTGAATTCTACTAAAGGGTGCACCCAAGAGTACACAAGCTAAGTGAAATGTAATTTGTGGGACCTCATGTGGACATCTCAGGTCATGTCTACAAGATAAAAGAGAGAAAAGCCTGGGGGCCACCACGGGCCTGGGAAAATGACCTCCAACTAAGCCTGATAAGAACATCCAATACATAAACAGCAGGCTCTCCGCCACCTCTTTTTCCACTGCCACTCTTCCAGAAAGCAAAGGGTTCTCTCCTGTTCAGACTTTGGCTCTGAGACCACAGCTCAGCACATCACTTCTCTAGAGAAAAGAAAGTCTGAGATGAGAGAGCGAGGCTGCTTTCTTGTGGTGCCAGTGTGCGGTGCAGGGCAGGCCTGATCGCTGAACGGATCCTGCAGACTGAGCGGTCACCTCCCCTTTCTAGTGCCCATTTCTTCTCCTTTTTGGGAAGACTGTCAGCATCCTCAGTGCAGGGCCACATCTTTATTTCTTGGCTGTCCCCACAGGTTCTAGCATGATGCTTTGATTAATTGCAGGTGCTCAGTCAATGTTGCTGGCTTACGTGACAGGTGAAATTATTCTTTCATCTGGGTTTCACCTCTTCCTTTCCTTTTTATTTTTTTTTTAAGAGGTAAGGTCTTGCTCTGTGGCCCTTGCTGGAATGCAGTGGCACAATCATAGTTCATTGCAGCCTTGACCTCCTGGGCTCAAGCGATCCTCAACCGCCTTGGCCTCCTGAGTAGCTGGGACTATAGGCATGTGCCACGGAGCTCAGCTTTGCCTTTTCCTTTCTTTGCACTCCCCTGGCGGAGATGCTGGTAAGCAGCGAACCAGTCAAGAGGACAGCAGCAGGAGGGGAAATGGAGAAACCCCATAATTCCGAGACTAAACAGGTCCTGGCTCACAGAGGAAGTCATGCTCCATGTTTCAACATATCCTCAAACCTCATTCAATTCCAAAATGCATGAAGATGAAATGGGAATTTTACCCAAGATTTTTTGTGGGCTGTTGGGGAGAAGAGTTAACATACTCCCAACTCTTCTCTTCAAATGATTTTTAAATTTTCCTCCAAGCTCTCAATCATTTCTCCAAAGCTCCCCTGCTCTTCTCACTCTGTCTGGGTCCTTCCTCTGCCACTTCCCTCAACATGGCTTCTCCATCATGGGCCAGCATTTCTTTTATTCTGTAGAGCAGGTTTTCTCACCCTGGCCACCTCCAATTTGCATGTTATGCCTCCACACCAAGTGAGCCTCAGAGCACCAGTGTTTTAATCCCTGAGAACAATCCTCGGAGGATTCAGCACAGAGGCCCTCTTAGCAGCCTGTAGTCTCCAGAGTGACACGTCCTCAGCAGTCAGAGTGAGCAAGCTATGGTGCCCGTCACCAAGGGGGCCCGTCACTCCCCTCTGCACTCACTTCTCTCCTACCTCCTCCTTCCCTATCCCTTCCTTCCTCCTTCCCTTTTATTTCTGCATTAAATGATTCATGGTTATTCCTTTCATAGGGGTGTCTGTGCCACTTGGTTCTATGGGCATTTTTTTTTTTTTTTTTTTGAGATGGAGTTTTGCTCTTGTCCCCCAGGCTGGAGTGCGAGTGGTGTGATCTTGACTCACTGCAACCTCCACCGCCTGGGTTCAACCGATTCTCCTGCCTCAGACTCCTAAGTAGCTGGGATTACAGACACTCAAAACCACACCCAGCTAGTTTTTGTGTTTTTAGTAGAGACAGGGTTTCACCAAGTGGGCCAGGCTGGTCTCAAATGCCTGACCTTAGGTGATCCACCCGCCTCAACCTCCCAAAGTGCTGGGATCACAGGCAAGAGCCACCACGCCCACTGGTTCTATGGACCTTGTTGAAGTGACCACTGACAAGCCCTGAGGTTGAGAAAAGGAAACGAAAGGTGACTGATTTCTCATCACCAATCTCCTTTTTCCCTCTACCCCTTGGCCCCCACTCTCCAATCTAGACTCTCATAAACAGAAATGATTTCCATTCATTATTGTGGTTGGAGTCGGGGGTGGCAAGTCAAGCTTTGAAGTTGTCTGCATAATAAATGCTGTCTTCAAGGACCGTCCCGCATTGTAGGAACAAGAGAACAATCCAAGTGAACAACTAACTCCCATCCACAAACGCTCCCGCCTCCCCGCCGTCCCCTAACCTCAGCCTCCTGCACTTGGAGTTCACCAATCCATTTGATGAGCTCAAATCAGTGAATTTTCTCCTCGCCAAAGCTCACAAATTCTGCTTCCCACTTCTCGCCCCATGTCCAGGCGTTAAAAACTGCATTTTCCCTTTGCCTGATATTCTGGCATCAAGCCTTCTTGCCATTCCGATTTATGTCACCTTCCTCCAGTTCTTATTATTTCCCTCCTGGAGAGTATCTCAGCATCTCTATGCCTCAGTCTCCCCTGCATGCCCCACCCGCTCAGCCTCATCATCACATCACTCGGTTGTGTTCCGCCTGGGTTAGACAGCTTCGGTGGCTGAAGTCTACAGATCTTATTCTGTTTTTCGAGGTCCACCTGACTCTGAATCCAGCTGACATTTTGCCCTTTGTCAGGAATCACCTACCGAGGCCGCATCCATCCTTCAAGGAAAATACGTGGGACTTTCCTGATCACATCAGCTCAGCAACTTTTCCCTCCAAAATTTAAATTGCTCTTCTTACAATCATTAGTGGTCTTAAACCTAAGGGAAGTCGGTCTGGGTCAGAAATTTGTTGTCCGCTGTGATGAGCAGTTTCCTCTGGGAAGTACCAAGCGTTTCTGATAATAGACTTGAGCAATTTCCTGATGAAGTGAGACTCAGCTTGCTCTCTTGACTGTCTGTCCCTGGATGAACTTAGTTACCTTTAACCAAATGTTCTTTTCTTGAACTAAATCTACCAATGTTATCTAGATACCTTTTCTTCAAAATAAAAAAAAAAATCCTCTACTAGGTAAGAAATCTTTGAACTGGACTTATTGGAAATTACCTCCTTGTAGCAGGTTTGAAACAAAACTTTGAATTTGCCTCACAAAGAATTTGTCTGAAACTGCTTTAGTGTTGCCAGTTATATTCATATGCACGTGTGTCCTCATACACAGTGACTGGCCACTCATATGTGTTATGCGCTGTGTTAGGCGGTGTGAGCTTACCGATAAGCTGGACATAGGGCCATCCTCCAGAGGCCCACAGTTTCACACCTTAACCTGAGATCCTTCGACCCTTGAAGTTCAAAGCGCCCACAACTGCTGGGTGTGGTGGCTCATGCTTGTAATCTCAGTAATTTGCAAGGCTGAGGTGGGAGCATGCCTGCCGTCCCAGCTACTTGGGAGGCCGAAGTGGGAGGATCACTTGAGTCAAGAAGGTAAAGGCTGCAGTGAGCTGAGATCACAGCACCGCACTCCAGAAACCCTGTCTCAAATAAAACAAAGTGCCCATCGTGAAACCTCCTACGGATTTATCCAGGGTGTGTGCTGATGCGCATTTCTCTAAGGATAAGAAAAGAGTGTTTACTCCTGTGGAAGACAGTATGGAGATTCCTCAAGCATCTACAATCAGAAATACCATTTGAGCCAGCAATCCCATTACTGGATATATACCCAAAGGAACAGAAATCATTCTACTATAAATCACATGCACCCGTATGTTTATTGCGGCACTGTTCACAACAGCAAAGGCGTGGAACCAACTGAAATGCCCATCAGTGATAGACTAGATGAAGAAGATGTGGTACATATACACCATGGAATACTATGCAGCCATAAAAAGGAATGAGATCATGTCCTTTGCTGGTCTCAAACTCCTGACCTCGAGTGAACCACCTGCCTTGGCCTCCCAAAGTGCTGGGATTATAGGCGTGTTCTACTGCATCTGGCTAATTTTTGTATTTTTTTTTTAAATAGAGACCGGGGTTTCACCATGTCTGCCAGGCTGGTCTCAAACTCCAAACCTCAGGTGATCCACTCACCTTGGCCTCCCAAAGTGCTGGGATTGTAGGCGTGTTCTACTGCGCCTGGCTAATTTTTGTATTTTTTTTTTTAATAGAGACTGGGGTTTCACCATGTCTGCCAGGCCGGTCTCAAACTCCAAACCTCAGGTGATCCACTCACCTTGGCCTCCCAAAGTGATTACAGGCATGAGCCACCAGGCCCAGCTGACGTGATGCGTTTTGGAAGCATGAATTCCTTTGCTTGCCTGGATGATTTTCTTTTTGTCAATATCTTTGCTTGCTTTCTAGTATTTAAACAACTGTGTTTTGCTCTAACTATCCAATGGCTTTAAGTTTGAGACAAACTTCCAGGGAGCAAAACCGTCAACCATTTCACAATTATCAGAAGAGCACTCAGGTCATAAACAAGACTGAATTTTACAAAAATCCAAAGTTTAAAACCAAAGCCCACTTTTTGCATGATCCTTTAAGAGAAAGACAAATCTGGAAGCAAAACACGTTATAAAATGACAGTGCACTTTCAGGAGCCCAGGGCATGGTGGTGAGATGATAATGGCTCATTTATAGTTCACAGACTGTAAGTCATGGGGGATTATTTATGAATTCTCAGGACTCATGGGTTTGCTGCATCCTTCCCCATTATTTGAATATTGGAGGCTGCATGACCAGGATCTTGGCAGGATTTCACTCCTTCATCCCAGGTGGCCCCTGCTGACTCCCCAGGAAGCTGTAGCCCTGGGGGAGGACTCAGTTTGCAAAGTGCTGGGCGAGACCACTGCCAAGAAGTGCTTGCTCACCCTACCTTCAACGGCAGGGGAATCTCCCTCTCCCTTTGTGGGCGTAGCTGAAGAAAGGATTCATAAATGAAGCTTGATCCTTCTCATCAACCCCGGTTCACACCTCCAGCAATTGAACTTGAAAAAAACCTGGTTTGAAACATTACCGCAAACTATATTGTCATCAAAAAAGAAAAAAACACTTCCTATATTTGAGATGAGAGAATAGAGTGCGAGGCAGTTTCCTTTTAAGCCCGATGCTTAAAGAGAGCAACTCCTGACTCCGATAGACACTTGATGGGCCCACAGGGGTGACAGTCCAGGCGGACTGATCTTCCCATCCCACATCCTCCCAGCGCGATGCCAAGAAAAGGCTGACCACAACTGGGCCTTCTGCAGAGAAAGGCCTCCTCTTGACTGCCCCGGCTGCTCCCAGGGGTCAGGAAGATGGATTCACAACTGCTGATGTGGGGACTGCTCACGTTCATCATGGTTCCCTGCTGCCAGGCAGGTAAGGGCCTGTGGGTGCCCCCGGAATTCCGGGAAGGCTGATGGGCGTCCCTCTCCCAGCCACAGAACCAGAGGGAGCCCCAAGCAGATGGTTCCTAGAAGGGAGTTGAATCTTGGGTTCCACCTCTTGCCCTTGACCCACAGGGACTCCGGGTTATGCCTCAGTGTTCCTCAGTCTGTCAAGAGATCCTGAAATAGCATTAGGTTCTCCTGTCACTCACGGTCGTTGACAATTAATTCTGGGACAAATAGTGTGACATGATATTTGGATGTTACCAGGGCCCTGATGAGCAGGTTCCTCAAGAAGTTATCTTTTATTCTTCAGTGAATTTCCTTTTATTCTCTGCACTCCACGCGTCAGCTAAGGGGCTCTCAGGAAGCTCTTTAAGTTCAGGTTAAGTTGCTGGAGATGTCAGTGCTCATATATCAAATACTGGGATAATTTAAGATCTCAGAAAAGTTTAGCTTCAAGGATGGATGCCTTGCTTTACTGCCTCAGGAAATAATACCTAGGAATTTCCTTACAAGGGAAACTTTGCAGAATTTTTTTCAAATATGCATACTCACCTTTAGAATATGACTGCTTCTCATATTCCTATGTATACACATGATATGTATTTGCATATTTGTTTATATATGCAAATCTTAAATTTCATTCCTTCTTTCAAATGGGTTTTCTCAAAGTTTTTTTTGTTTTTTTTTTTTTTTTGAGACATGGTCTTTGTCACCCAGACTGGAGTGCAGGGGCGTGATATTGGCTCAGTGCAACCTCTGCCTCCTGAGCAGCTGGGACTACAGGCACACGCCACCACGCCTGGCTAATTGATTTTTTCATAGAGATGGGGTTTTGCCATGTTGCCCAAACTGGTCTTGAACTCCTGGGCTCAAGTGATCCATTCGCCTTGGCCTCCCAGAGTTCATGAACCACTGCGCCTGGCCGAGATTTTTTTTTAAAGAAATAAAAAACCACCAACTTCTACCTCAAACCACTCTTCCTAATTGAGTGTGAATTTTCTAATAATGTCTTCCCTTTGTTTACTCAGGAAGACAGATATGAAAGTTTATACATTTTTTTGAAGGTTCATAATGGCAAGAAGTAGAATGCTGACCGGCTGCAGAAATAACCTACTAAGAAATGAAAGATGATGACGCCTCTGAGGAGTCTGCTGGCTTGTTCAGGGGAAGTGGCCAAGTCGTGCTGGGCTGTGTGCTGGCCCAGATGTAGCAATGTCTTTAAAGAGGGCATTTTATTTATTTATTATATATGCTTTATTTCAATAGGCTTTCGGAGGACAGGTGGTGTTTGGCTACATGAATGAGTTATTTAGTGGGAATTTGTGAGATTTTGGTGCACTCATCACCCGAGCATGTGCGCTGTACTCAGTGTGTGGTCTCTCATCCCTCACCCACCTCCCACTCTTTCCCCTGAGTCCTCAGAGTCCATCGTGTCATTCTTATCAAGAGGGCATACTTTCAGGAAGGTTTTTAGTGTGATTTCTACCTCCACAGCGTCTTCGCTAACTCAATCCAAGCTAGAACAGCAAAATCTTTACAATTAGTCACGTTCTGCCTGGGAAACACATTTGAAGTAAACTTGTGTTATTTCCAGCCACTGGTGACTAATCCAGGGGTCTGAATGGTCTTGGTGGGGGCAGGGAAGGTAGAGTTCCATCAGGACTCTTTCACTCTAATCTCAACACCTGTCCATACCCCATGTGCCCCTCAACACTGTAGGAAATACAAAAATGAGGGAGACATAGTCCCTACCCGTAAGCAATTCATCACCTGGCGAGGAGGAGAAAAGCTTGGACATAATAATAGTAATATCAGCTAGAGGGTGGTAAGATCTACGGAGTGGGGGCTACCAGAGAAGGCTTCCTGAGGGTGACGTGTAATGGGGGATCCAAGGGACCATGCATTTCCATCAGTGAGATTCCAGGGAGAGAGACCCTTATGAGCCAAGACACAGCAGTGCTTTAGGGAGCTGCAGGTGCTCCACGGTGCTCCTGCGCTGGACAGGGCAGATGGGGGTGTGGGGAATTCAAACTGGAAAGTTTGGATTGGGCATTTTTAGTCTCTGTATTACTGAGCCCCTGGGATGTGGTCAGAAAGAGAATTCTCCTAGTTATAACTTCTTAACTTCACTTAGTAGGTAATAAAGAACCACAAGAAAATTTAAAGTTATAATTTATAAAGTACGTCCTACGTGCCAGGTATGTGTCTTATTGTAATCTTTATAGTCACTTTGCAATATGGATGTCATGATCCCCTAGATGAAGAAAAACCCAAAACTCAGACTCGCACAGGCAGTGACAGTGCCAGGGTTTGAACCTGGTCTCCCTGGATTGTTGTTTCCGCTCACTGCAAACAGGGATCAGAGCTTTATGGAGATGATACTGGCATAGAGTGGAGAGAGATCAGGTGCACAGTGACAGGTCATGAGGCTCTCAAAATAGTCCAATCATGAGGCAAACGAGGACCCAGTGGCCAAAGACAATGACATGGATAGTTTCTGTTATCAACAGGAATTCTCAGGCATCCCTCCAGGGTAGGAAACCATCTCATCACAGACCTTCTTTCTCCAAGAAGAACTCAGTGTGGAAGCAAATCAGTCTTTTTATTCCTCAGGGTGAGAGTCCTCTAATGAAATCACACTGTCAACAGATGCAATTTCTAGCTGATTCATAAGGGCAGATTTTCATTCTGAAAATTTCCAAAGCCACCATTTAACGTGGCGAGGGTTTATGAGGACATGTTAGTCAACTTGAGTGTTTTTAGTCTCTATATTACTGGGTCCTGGGATGTGGTCAGAAAGAGAATTCTCCTGCTGTTACCAATATGGCACGTTATTGAAGGCACATTTCTCAGAACTGTGGAAATTCTGAGAGCTTATGTGTCCCTTGATCATCTTTCTTTCATTCTAGGAATTCTGTGATCAAATCTTTATCCTCTAGACTCGAAAACATATGTATATATATAAAACAGTGTGGAAACACATTGAGATGATGTGTTTGTGTAACTATCCCTTCTTGTAAAGACAACTGCCCACAATGGAATTTCCCATCTTCACCTTTGTCAGCCAAACACAAAATGTTCAGCCCTTCACATTTAATCTTTCGACTTCTTGAGGTCCCAAAGTATTATTGCAACTATTACCTCATTCATCTTCATGACATGCCTTGAAGCTGTAGGGTTTCCTGAACACTGGGGCACTTCATAAAACAGACAGTTGCTACTTTCCTTAAATAGGCACTTTGGTAAATCACCTGTGCGTAGCCTTCATTTTAGATGTGAGACTTGAAAAAGAAAAAAATTGACTTCACAATTCTACACCAAAAGAATGAGCTTCACAAATGCGTCGGTTAGAGCTGCTAATATAGAGAGGTTGGTGGACTCTGTGACTCGGTTACTCCATCCCACTGCCCTCAGAGAAATATTCCTAGACTGATTTTTGCCTAAAGCCTTGGGTATTCTTTATACCTCTTTGTAATTGGGTTTTTGTTTTGTTTTATTTTGTTTTGTTTTTGTTTTTGAAACAGGGTCTCACTCTGTCACCCAGGCTGGAGTGCAGTGGCGAGATCTTGGCTCACTGCAACCTTTGCGTCCGGGGTTCAAGTGATTCTCCTGCCTCAGCCTCTGTGAGCAGCTGGGATTACAGGTGTGCGCTACCACGCCTGGTTAATTTTTTGTGTGTGTGTGAGACGGAGTTTCGCTCTTGTTACCCAGGCTGGAGTGCAATGGCGCGATCTCAGCTCACCGCAACCTCTGCCTCCTGGGTTCAGGCAATTCTCCCGCCTCAGCCTCCTGAGCAGCTGGGATTACAGGCACACGCCACCATGCCCAGCTATTTTTTTTTTTTTTTTTTTTTTTTTTTGCATTTTTAGTAGAGACGGAGTTTCACCATGTTGACCAGGATGGTCTCGATCTCTTGACCTCGTGATCCACCCGCCTCAGCCTCCCAAAGTGCTAGGATTATAGGCTTGAGCCACCGTGCCCGGCCTTAATTTTTGTATTTCTAGTAGAGATGGGGTTTCACCATGTTGGTCAGGCTGGTCTTGATCTCCTGACCTCAGGTGATCGCCCCCACCTCGGCCTCTCAAAGTGCTGGGATTACAGGCGTGAGCCACCCTGCCCAACCCTCTTTGTGATTATTTGTTGGGGTCATTCCTCTGCTAGCTATGGACATCATCAAGGCAGGCAGTCCCTCAACATGGCAGCTGTTCACGCTCCTTCCCCGCTCCTCTACTTGCCCCAGAATGAGCAGAAACTTTGCAGATAAAGCGAGAATTCCCTCAGGAAATGAGGCATGTTGCCCGAGGTCACAGGGAATAGAATCAGCAGGAAAGCAAACCTCGTAGGAAGCATGGGCCAACCACCAAGAAGACATGGTGAGGGTGTGAGTGTTTGACAGATTTCCTTCTGTAAAATGAGGAGGTCCACCCTGGGATGTTGAAACTCCCTTCCAGCTCCACCACTCTATGTCAAGGATTCTGGAAAGGAAATAAAATATGCTCTGCTTAAAAGGCATTTTCAAGCTGGGGAGATTTTGGATGAAAAAGTTTCCCAAATGAAGACATACTGGCAGAGTCAGCATTGAGTGAGTTTTGTGTGTCAATGCACCCAAGCCTGATGTCTCACCGTGGGTTATTTCCAGCTCTGAAGCGGTACTGTCCTGCACCCAAGTGTGACCCGCTGCTTCTGTAATCGCTGCAGTTGCAGGTGTCAAGGCAAAAACTCCACTAACTCAATTCTCAACATCTATCCAGTACCTCTTATGCTCCTTTTCAATACCATAGGACATGTAAAAATGAGCAAGACATACTCCTGATCCTTGAGAGAGTCATAAGCTGGTGAGGCGGAGAAACGCATTGAAATAGTAATAGTAACACAAGTCATATATGGTAACATCTACTGAGCGTGGGGCTATCAGAGAAGGCTTCATGAGGGTGACATGGGAAGGGAGCCCCAAGGGACCAATTAATTTCAATCAATTTCAGGGAG